TGATGGAATACCACCCACTGTTCTGAGGAGTCCCGTTGGCCTGAGCACTGATGGCATTTCCTCTAGTTCCAGCTCTTCAAGGAAGAAGCTGCATATCAATGATGCATCTCACAACCATCACTCCAAAATGAGCAAAAGTTCCAAAAGTTCAGGTAGTTCATCTAGTTCTTCCTCCTCTGTTAAGCAGTATATATCCTCTCACAACTCTGTTTTTAACCATCCCTTACCCCCTCCTCCCCCTGTCACATACCAGGTGGGCTACGGACATCTCAGCACCCTCGTGAAACTGGACAAGAAGCCAGTGGAGACCAACGGTCCTGATGTCAATCACGAGTACAGTACAAACAGCCAGCATATGGACTACAAAGACACATTCGACATGCTGGACTCGCTGTTAAGTGCCCAAGGAATGAACATGTAATCATTTGTTTAGGTCAATTTTTCCTTTACTTTTTTAATTTAAAAATTGTTAGAATGGAATCCTCCTGATCTAGCAGTGGTAACACCTGCTGTGCTGCCACTGTTTCAATATTTGTAAGTGCTGCTTTATTCTTCATTCTGAAAAGAAGAGATTATAGTAAACAAGTCTTTATCTCCACATATGATAGTGTTATAAATACTGTAAAAGCATGGAAGGTGCAAAACTCAGTATTTCTACAATTGCAGCTAAGAACATTAGGATGAGTGGCTGGCTGCTTCTAGGAATATAAGATGCCTCAAGCATTTGTTATTTATAATTTGAATACTGTAGCTATTTTGTTGCTTGGCTTTTGAATGAGTGTAAATTGTTTTCCTTTGTGTATTTATACTTGTATGTATGATTTGCATGTTTCAATGATAAAGGGATAAAACAGTATAAAAACTGTTTACAAGAAAGTGGAGAAAAATGTACATACATTTTTGTATGTTTAGATATTACCATAAATACTCAGGATTGGAGCTGCTTGTAAGTATAACAATATACAGAATAACTTTATTTTATCGTGTCAGAGTCCATCACTAATCTAAAACAAAGGTGGCACTTTTTCATATTAACCTTAAACTCTAGGCCTTACTGGAAGCCTCTGAAGGGGGACACTTCACTACCAGATGGGTATGCAGTGCCACAGATGGTCATTTACACTGTGAGGCACTGAACTTTTGCCTTCAGAGGTTCTGACCAGATTGGCTGCTTGAAATAGCCCCTAATTTTCTGAAGGCTTGAAGAGGAAAGAATAAAGTTTACATACTCTTGATGTGAAGTGCAGTTAAATGTTTGTTGACTTGTTGCAGTACTATAACAGAGCTGTTAATAATGGTCATGTAGATTACTGTGATTTGAAAACTAAATTCACAAAACTTACATAGTGAAAAATTAGTAAGTTTTTTTTTCTTAAATAAAGAACTTTAACACTACATAGTTTAACAGTAAACAGGGATCGCTTTTTCTCTAGTATTCAGAATAACACCGTATTCTTAAACATACTCCTCCCCTGAAGCGTGTTTGTGTGTGATGCCATATTTCTTTTTCAGGTAAATGCAGTCTTCCTTATAAAAAAAAAAAAAAAAACCTATTGCTCTCTCAGTTATTTTATATTCTGACAATAAATAAAAAGAAAAGATCACTGACTGTGCATTGTACCTGTATTTATAGCTTATCAGCAAGCTCTGTGAGAAAAAAAGGTCAGCCTCCAGGTAAACAGCTAGTGGAGGTTTTACATTTGTTCACACATCTCAGTATATTCCTATTGAGGTCAAATATGCACAGTCATCTGACTTCTGAATTAACAATAGACTTTGTTTAAAATTTGTCTTAAACACTAGTAATATGGCTCTGGTTTATCAGTGAGTCTTGAATTTATTCTGTGGTAAATCTTTGAGCTGTTGAGTATCTTTGAGATGGGTTGAATTCAACATCTGTTGAACTGAAAGTTGTCTTTTTCCCCTGTGTATATGAATTATTTTGTTAAAAAGCCACTGATATGTGCACAATTGTAATTTTACTCAAGTATGTTGCAGTTGTAAATATTAGAGTTTAATCTTGTGCTCTACTTTTATTTAGCAATTACCTAATTTGCTAGTAGCTTTATAATTTTTTAAAGATAATTGTTTATTATTTTGTCAATGTTGTTTGAATTTAGGATTCTAGGAGCCTCTTTCTAGGGACTTTTCCTAGCTAGCATGTCCTAACATTTGTTCTTGTCTTGCATAACTTCAGTAATCTTTGTCATTACTTGTAACTTTGTTGTTCTGTATGGCATATTATTGTATCCACAAACATGCTAATTTTGATACAGTTATACTTTGACAGTGGTACATAATCCAAGGACTAGTGTAGAATTAAGCTGAGTGCAAAATGAGGGAGGGAAGGGTTTTGTTCTTGGTAATTTAGATGTGAAACCTCTAAAGAGCTATCATGTGAAACTACATGGGGTGGTCGTGCTACTGTATAATTGGGGATGATAATACCAGGAATTTTAATAAGATTTTGTAAAGGATATCCAGAAAAGTAGTGAACTTATTTTCAGTATGACATAGAAAACAATGTGAATATTTAAGGTCTGTGACTATACTTAAACTTCACAAAGAATTTGCAGAATTGTTTCGAGATGTGGGAATAAAGGTAATTTTGTTGAATCTTTATTGGTGCTAATGATGGACAGTTAAAAAGGTAGTTAGTGTATATTGTTATGGGTCAGTACTTATTAGTACTTCCAAAATTGAATTTGAAATGCTATGTATTCACTTTTCACTCTGTAAATGTAAATCTTTACAATGATTTTATTTATTAAAGGGCAGCCAGTTGTAATTTTTACAGGGTCGTGTGAGCTATTCAAACTCTTTAACCTCTGAACAAGATATTAGCTTCCCAAACCACAGTGGAGATAAATATGGAAATCCCTTTAAGTTTCATTTCCATTAAATGAAAACCCTTATAATTCATATTATCATGAATTTGCTTTAGCCATCTCATTTGCATAAAATAGTTCATCAGCCTGGTCCCAATAGGCTCAACCAAAGAAAAAGACTCTAGCGAATGGACATTATTACTGAGTCTTCTTGTAAGTAGCCATAAGTAAACCAAAATAGTATCAGATTTAGATATGAAATTCCACATGTGCAAAGTACTGTTAAGGTGATACGTTTTTGATGAGATTTTTTAAAATATTTGAAATATTAAAAAGCATTATCTTTAAACAGCCTATAAAAGAGTGATTCATTTTTTAGTTGTGTTTTTCCCTAGGTCATAGATCTCTTGTTACCTTTATACAGAAGCACATTGCATAGAAAGCTTTACTTCTACCTCTTTAACTAATCTTCCAGTATGAGCTGTGCCCCCTAAATATTTGCCTAGCTGTCTTAAAATACAATATTTTCAGAACCAAAGCAAAGGAGTATCTTTTCACAGAAATATTCTTGGAGGCCTACTTTACAAAACTGGCAGTATCTTTTATGGTAAGACCTTGTAAAATGTCCTCGTTCCTTTTTCTTGTTTAACCTGAGGTTCATTTCTTGTTGCAGATATTTAAATACTGACACGTCATGAAATCAGACCTAGGTTTATCTTTGAATGTTTGTAGATGCATCTTGCCCTTCCTCTGGGTATGCAGTTTATTATGATTCGAGTTCTTAAAAGTCAGAAAATTTCTCCCGTAATGCATGGTCTCATGCAGAATTTCATGAGGGATGTTTAGATTACTTTGTACCAACACCTTACAAGTACGTCAAAAACCTCCAATGCCAAAACTTTTTCTGAAAGGGTTTATTGAGCAATATGCTAGCCAGTGTAAGGACCAGATCTGGGGCATGCAGTCTTAACCACCAGCAGCAGGTCTAGATGGAGAAGACAAACATGTTTGCTATCCTGAGATTGACACGGCTCTTATACAGTGAGTTTGGGGGAGAAAAACGAATTGTTTTGAAAGAATTTACATTGGCTGTAGATAAAAGGGGCAGGAAAAGGTAAAGTGGGAACACTTCTGGGATAGGTGCATATAGCCTGTAAAGTAAAGGTATTTGCTGCTTTTGGCCTGGTTATGAGCAGCAGTGTGGACTGTTAATGTGTAAGCTGGATGAGGTGTCACCTGGCAAACAGCTAGTTATTCTCTCTAGATAACCATGGAAACAGCCACCTGCAAATTCAAAGTTTTCAACATACATTTAGGAACGCGAGTAGTCTTGTTGATACAGGCCTAAGGCTCTGTTAACTGATTAATTTCCCGTCTTTCCCTCCCACTCTGGCCTGCTGTAATTTAATTTAGGACATCTAAGAATTTTTCTCTTGTTTGTAGGATATCTTAATTTTTGGCCAGCCTTACCCCTTGAAACTAAAGAAATGACTAGTTGAGGTCAATTTTAGATCACCCAATTTAAAATGTTTTTTAATTGAATGCCTTGCCTTCAAAGCATTTTTAGCACATTTTTTATTTTATTTAATAATTTAAATAATTTTTAGTTCATAACCAACCTTAAAAATAAACCATTGCTTTTATATGCATAACTATTATGTACTCTTTAAGTACCCTTGGTTGGTTAAATATTTTAGGGTTTTGCATTACTATGGAAGTAAGAAATTTTTTTAAACATGATAATATCTATCAATTCTATTCCCAAGGTAATCTCATCATTCTGAAGTTTTGTCTAAACAAAAAGTAATTGTTTCTCACCCACTATTGTGCTTGAATTGCTAGGTAATTTTTATGATGTCTTTGCTGAGAAAAATTTGAGAGCTCTTGTTATGAAGAATTTTTGATTCAGCAGTTTCTCAGGCTTTCTTCAGAGGCAGGAGTCACTAAACTGCCTTTACCCAGACGAAGCATCGACAGATCCCACACTCAGGGAAACTTGCATTAATTGAGTGATACCTGCTAATCTCATGTGCCCATTTGTTTACGGTAGGTTGATTTAGACAGGGATTTTTACATTGGAAGATCAGCACATTCAGTCCCTAGTGACTTAAGATGCCAAGATAGTTTACTATACTAGAATGTTAATTTGAGAATTCACAGCTACATTAATATCCAAAATTTGATCACTGTAAGCTGACATATATAAGCCAAATAATCAGGAGTTTGCTTATTTTGTAAGAAGTTTGCCTCTGAAACATCTTTACAGTAGTGATAATCTTGCCAGTGGGTCTGGAATACGCAGTGTTAGTGTCTGACACCATGCATCCATTTTTTATTACGCAATATATAGAGTTGGGCACAGCCAGCTTTTGCTTCGATGATCCCTCTTTATGTTCTGTATAATTTACCAGTATCTGTTCTACCTGACAGGTTCTTTAGGTTGGTAAGCAAGATACGTTGAAGGTTGTGTGGCTAGGGGTAATTTTCTTAAAAATATGACTTGACCCGTTCACTGTGATCCATTAATCTCAAAAGTGAATTCTGAGGGCTTTCTAGTTTCCTTTATTTCTAAGTTCTGGTAGGAACCCTCACTTAAAAACTGTTTAGTAGTTGGTTTAATTTCATTTGTCTATTGTTTGTTAATGAGTACATTCTTATCTTTAAAGTGCGTTTTTCAAGCAGTTTCACTTGGTTTGAAAAACTTAACATGTACTCATTTTTTGTCAGCAATGGTTGAGATTTCATTTTCTGGATGTACTCAAAACCCTGAAGGACTATCGAATAGGATGTTTGCTGATAGAAAAGCCAAAACAGGAATGTATATATATGGCATGAATTCATTTAGTTTACTGAATTTCAGCTCAGTATCTATTACAAAGAATTAATAAAATTTGTATGTTGACAATGTAAATCCAAGGCTCTAACATGTCTTGTTAATGTGAATCAGAAAAAACTTTGAGTCCCTGGGAAATGTGGGAAATAAGGACTAAGTTATCTGATCTGAGTACTTCGTATATCATCAAGGAGTGGCCTCTAAGATCAGACTGTCCAAATTCCAATCTCAGCCCCACCACTTTGTACCTGTTGACTTTGGGTGACTTACTTCGTGCCTTGATTTCCTTCCCTACAAAATGTTGATAATAGTGCCTATTCATAGGTTTATGAAGTTTAAGGCTAGGGTGATTGGTGAAGGCTAAAAAGAATAGATGACGTGGGAGAGCATCCTAATGATAGTTATATATTTGGGTATTAGAGGGAATGATGAAGGCAAAGCCAGGTGCAGTAAACACAACATGCCTGCTGTTTTAATCTCTCACATCACCACAAAAAGCAGAGTAATTGCAATTATCTGGAAGGAGAATTATCCATGAAAAAATATTCATAAGTTGCTTTAGTATTGCCACTCTTCTCCAACCCTCCTCTCTCCCACCAATTTTTTTGCACCTGCCACTTAGGAAATGGAAGCTTTGCAATGGCTTTAATAAAATAGAACTAAGATAGAAAAGTTACTTCCTTTAAAATACATTTTAAGCCTAAATGTAATGAATGTTTTGAAATCACATTAGGTTTGTTTTTATCTTATGTTTATAACACTAGTAAAGGCTTATTTTATTAGCGTATATATAATGAGTTTCATTTAGGAATGTTAAAGAGTCGGTAATTCCACTTGGCCAAATTTAGTCATTCCATTCGGTGATTCATCCTACTCCATTGTTACCTTTTCCCCCCCTGCTGTTTTCAGTATAATGGAAAAATTTGTATATTTTTGTTTTACCTCTGCTATATGACCTGCTTGTCCTCTCCAACACCACCTCTCAAAGCAATGTAGGACCTCACTAATGAGGATTTACATTGCCATGAAGTTAAGAGGCTTATGTATTTATATAGACCATACAAGGTCAGATTTCTTTAGTCTTTCAAGTTGTAATCTGTAGGAGCAACTGCTTTAGGGATGAATTCAGCCATAGTTTCTCACAAGTTTGAGCAGTCATGGCAACAAGACAACATACCATAGCCTTTCCTCGAGAGTGTTTGCTATTTTAACTTTCACAGTATAATGCCATACACAAGGACTCCTTGTTAACTGTTGATGACCAATGACGATGCAGACTGCCTACAGCATGTATTTTCAAATTGGCATCACCTGGCAAGACTTTTTAAATTCAAATTACATAGGCTGCTTTAAACTGAACAGTTTCAAGTGCAGCAAGTATGAGGAATAAAGATGGTGGAGGATTTTGGCTGCTCATTGAACAGGTTAAGTAAGTTCTTATCTTGGAGCTACTCATTACACCATGGAAGGCCCAGAACTATTGTAGTGGGCGTGCAAGGGATCTGGATAAAGCAAGTAAATGGAATACTGTACACTCCCCAATCCCATAGTTAAGAGCTCAACTCTTTTCCACAATGGCAACTCTCCTTATTCAGCCACTGAGAAATGGCCACAGTGTAAGAGCTAAAGTAGGTTAAATTAAGGAGATGCTGTAGAGTTGGAACTGCTTTTAGAAGTTTACTCATGGAGTTAAATTTCCTTTGGTTGAGCATACAGGAAGAATCAGTACGTAATGAAAAGCACTTCTGAATGTGAAAACGGCACTGTACTTGGTGAAAAGGGAGGTGGTCGTAGAGGGGAAGGAAGTTACTGCGGCTAGGTGAAAAATGAACAGCTTTTCACATCATTAATCAAAATCACTAGACTGGTGAATTTATAAACTACAAATCTGGGAGGTAGCAGAGAAAGAGCTCTAAAGTCAGAGCAATCTGGGTGGCAATTTCAACTCCCACCTACCAATCGGATGGCCTTGAGAAAGTTACTTAGCTCTGCGCCTTATTGTTCATTAATAAAATGAGAATAATATTACCAACCTGAACAGCAGCCAGAATTAAATGATGTGCCATTTTCTACTAAGAGCTCAATAAATGCTAGCCTTCCCAGCCCCCACCTATCTGTCTTAATCTCCCAGACCTTCATAAAGGAAGCTATAAACGACAAATACCTAGGTGATGGTGAGCATAATTCCAACCTGTCATGTCATAAACACAATGACTAACAAAACAACAAAGCTCTTAGGACCAATGCTTGCCTATTGAAACAAGTTTTGAAGGCTCTATTTAATATTCCAAAACTGTATTCAGAATTTATCAATAGAAGGGTAAGTTTGTTAACACCAAAGTCTTATCCATTGCTGTGATTTGTATACATAAACATATTCCCTGCCCTTTCCTCATAAGGTTTAATAGCCTTGAATGTAAATAGTTAATTGCTCCAAAATCACATTTAACCATTCAGATTTTAAAGAATACTGAAGATCCAAAATGATGTTTCAGGTTATGTTTATAGACAAGTGCAGGCCTACATTGGAGGTATTGCAGATATGCTTCCAAAGCACTGCAAAAAAAACTGAGTCGTAATCTTTTTACTAATGGAGGGAGGGCCTTGCCTTTAATTTGTATTAAAAAAAAAAAAAAATCTGTGAAGCACAGTAAAGCAAAACACAAAAAAATGAGGTATGCCTGTAGTAAAATAAGGGACGTATCCCTTAAATTCCTATCAAATATGAGAAAAGAACTACAAATTGGAGAGAAAGGGAAGGCATACCCATGAAGATTCATCAAAACACAGCCAAAGTAAAATCTGTTTTACCTCAGCTGGACCGCATGATTTCATATTTATTTCTCAAAAGCTTTAAGCAGCAACTTGATTTTAACAAAGCCTGACAACTGGTGTTAGACTACACCTTAAGTTAGTGTGGAGTTGTACTATCCGGAAATGATAGCAGCCAGTTTTTTTTTAAAGTCTGTAGATACAGCTTAAAACAATAGGTGTCAATGAAATTTAGATGAGTGAAGTCGACAGTGATAGAAAGCTGAAAAAAAATGCTTAATCCACAAACTTAAGGGCTTGTAATAATTCTGACAACTTGTCCATGTTTATTTTTGTAAGGTTTACCAGTGTTTCAGAAGTGAAAGTAGGGATGTCCTTCATTCAGATGAACTGAGACAAGTGCCCTGAAAAAGTTCATATGCTGACCCACTCTCCCTTTATCCAACTGATTTTGGTTCAGCTAGTTCTAGATGTGGTAATGACCTAATTCACTCCGCAAATAAGTGAAGACCTCAAATAACATAAATTATAGGGAAAGCAGCCTGAGGTTTATGAAGCCACCTTAAATAACCCAGCTTCTTGTAGGTGGAGGCTTCTGAGAAGACTGGGGACCCTCTGACAATAAAATACCTTGGCCCTTAGCTCTTCTGTTAATCTTGAAGCTCCTATAATCTGTAAATTTAAGATTGCCACCAAAGTAAACAATCTAGCGTCCCCTGCTTTAAACTTCTCATTTTCCTTAAGTACCCTTTGCAAAAATTAAGTACGTGTCTTTATGCACCAAGCAAGAAAATGTAGTTTTCATGTTTTTACAATTTATTTTAAACTAACGATGTTAAAATTGACAGGCCAAAAATAAAAAAAATGTATTTTGTAAGCAACAAAGATTATAGTTCCTGGGTAGTTAAAACTGTAAATATTGGAATAGCTGTTCTTGTTATTAAGAAAAATTTCTCATATACATGAGTAATTGTTCCTGAAGCTTGAGGAGACTAATATGTAGCAAACTTTTCAGTTAATGACACTGTAGGATCTGGTTAAATTGAGTAAGATTGACTTTCCAGCAGACAAAGGTCCCTTAACCATCATTCCCACAATGAAGCAATAACAAAGTATCTATAAAAAAACTGGAAAGAAAATCTTGATGTATGTTCAATGACTTCTCTTCAAGAAGGAGTGCTTCAGGAGCTGAACGGCAGAAGGTCGTTCGTGCTGGTCCCTAGGAAGGGAAAAACACATTAGTAGAAGCAACACCCAATAATGTACCTCCCAACTAGGTCTACTTGACTCAAAATGCTGACGTTCAGATGAAAGTACAACCTCTGCCAGTCAAACAGATGGTTGAGTCCAGGCTCCAGTTATCAGCTGTGTGATCTTAGGCAAGTGACTCAAACTCTTTCCTCAACAGTAAAATGGGGATAACAATAATTCTCTGGGAGAATTAAATAATGTATATACAGCTTTTAAATAGTGTCTGGCACATTGTAATTGTTCCCAAAATAGTAGCCATTGTGATTAAAAAGTAGGTCCTATTTTTCCACTGTGGCTTTGTTCAATTTGGAGGGTATAATTTATACACAAGTAAAATTCCACTTAGATGTATAGTTTAATGCACTTTTAATTAGCATTAAATTTAGTTTTAACCCTTTTCTCGTTTATCTTGAGAATACTTGCCAGTGGCACGTGGCGGCTGCAGCATTTACCCCGAGATAACTCGCAGATTACAGTCCTAACCTTACCCCCAAAGTTTGCCATGAAATATCTCGCTTTTATTATTTTTGCATCGCTCTAGTATATTGATAGTCCTTGGGAGCAAATGACATCACTCTATTTATAGCATTCTATTTTTAGTAGTTTGGTCACTGAAAATGCCAAATCCTAGAAAACAGCATTCCTACACGTAATGTTAAATGAACGCTGGCAGTGAGCTGCACTTTTTTTTTTTTTTTTATGAACAGGAAAAGGGTTGAAATTTAGAGGCATTGGAATCTAGAATTGAAAAGCTGTTAAGACATTTGAATGTGCTTTGGTGATTAATTGAAATAAACCCATTTGGGGCACTCTTGGAAGAGAATAAAGTAAAGGGAGGCAGCTGCTCAATTGGTACAATTGTGGTTTTGTTTTTTTCCCTTAAATCAAAAAACTTTTGCCAATGAACCAATCAATGAACTAAAAACCAGTCAATAGTTATCTGCAATGACCTAGTCCAAAGGCATTCTTTTGGTTAAATTGGCTATCTTTGGATAATTTTGGAAGCAAATGGCCACCAAGAATAATCTAGGTGAAAATGGAAATAAAATACTTTTTAAAAGAATGTGATTATAAATCATTTTGAAATAAAAATCTTTCTCCTTGAGGCTCGCTCTTCTGCCTTCAAAATATTCTGTAATCTCTCCTAAATTTCTTTCCTTACTCTGGCTACCATTCCCTATTTCTTCTATTCCTGACGAATTTCTCTAACACGAACAAACACAGTGACATTTTTTTAATACAGTGACTTTTTTCAACGTTCATTATCTTAAAACTTTAACCATTTGACTCACTCCTCTCTATATAGAAATTGCTCTCTTAAAATTAACCATGACCTCATTAAAATTAAATTTAATAAGCTCATCCTCTTGTCATCTCTGTAGCATTTGGAGTATTCACTGTCCCTCCTCGATCTTTGCTTACACAGGAGAAACTGTTCTCTTGGGTTTTCTTCTACCTGGGGGCAACTCCTTCCCCTCCCTCTTTCTCTTCTGCCCTCGCTCCCTCCCTCTTTTCCAGTTATGTGCTAGATACTATATGCATTTTTTTTAATTTATTATCTGTGATAAAAATAAAATTTAAACCACCCAAAGTCCAGTTTCCTTCAGCTACCATATATTTGATCCCCTTTACCCACTTCACCCTCCTCCTATCCCCTATATTTGACCCCCTTTACCCCATCTACCTCCCTCCTCCTCACCACCCCCTATTATATGCATTTTAAAAGACATTATCCTCTATGCGGAGAAAAAGGAACCCTTATATACTGCTGGTGGGACTGCGAATTGGTACAGCCACTATGAAAAACAGTATAGAAGTTCCTCAAAAAACTAAGAATTGATTTACCATATGATCCAGCAATCCCTCTACTGGGTTTTTACCCCAGAGACTTGAAAACCCATATCCAAAAAGATATTTGCACACCAATGTTCATAGCAGCATTATTCACAGTGGCCAGGACATAGAAACAACTGAAGTGTCCTACGATGAATGGCTAAAGAAGCTATGGTACATATATACAATGGAATATTAGCCATAAGAAGAGATGAAATACTGCAATTTGCAATGACATGGATGGACCTCGAAATAATCATGCTAAGCGAAATAAGTCAGACAAAAAGTTGAAGATCACATGGCATCACTTATATGTGGGATATAAACCTAAAAATGACAAATGAGCAGGACAAACAGAGACTCATGGACATTGACTATAGGCTAGTGGTTACCAGGGGACTATAGACTAGTGGCTACTAGTGGAGTGGAAGGGGAGGGAGGAGGTAGATGGGGTAAAGGGGGTCAAATGTACGGTTTAGGGGGAGGGTGAAGTGGGTAAAGGGGATCAAATATATGGTAGCTGAAGGAAACTGGACTTTGGGTGGTAAACAATAGAATATACAGATGTCAAATGATAATGTACACCTGAAAATTATATAATTGTATTAACCAATGTTACCCCAATAAACTTAATTTAAAAAAAGAAACATTATCCTCAGTGTTCTAGGTTTTTTACGACTGTAACTATCAGCTTTATGATTTTCAAATACATACCTCCAACCTTAATTGCTTTCCTGAGCTTCAATTCTATAGCTTCAAATGTTTTCTTAGATGAAAGGGACCCTCTTCAACTTCCTCTCCTGTTCCTCTTTCACGACTTTTATTATAATTCCTTGCATTTCCAGACCCAAAACCATATCATCTTCCATCACCAAGTCCTGATCCGCCTTCCCCTGAAATGTTTCGGAATCCTCTTTACAGTCCCACTGCTTCCACTACCATTGAAGTTCGAGCTCTGGATTCTCACATGGCCTTCTAGTCTCAAGCAGCCTCTATCTGAGGTCTCTCAGTACACTGCCATCTGACCTGCCTTCCCAAAGACACTGTTCTTTGTAACATCCTCTACCCAAAATATTTTGCAGTCCCCTGCTCTTCGCTGCCTTTTGCAACAAAGCTAAACTTGGGCTGTCTTCCCAGAACTTCCAGCCCGCCCATAGGAACTTTCCTGCCCACGCTTACTTCTTACTGCTCCCTGAAATTCTGTTCTAGTCAATCTTTGTTCCTAGTCTATACCTCATCATCTCTACTTCTGAATTTTTAAGAGTGACTTACCCCTTCATTTCTGACTAGCTACACTTCAAGGAGTATTGTCATAGACAGCAGGTAAGATTCTATAATCCTTAGGGCTTTTGCCATAGGATATGGTCATATATGACACAGATTAGGTAAGGTGTATTACCAGTCTCCCGTACAGTTACTAAGGAGCTCTAATTATGTACCTCATACTCTGCTAAGCAATTTGCATACACCATTTCACTTAACCTTCACAACAACCTATTAATTCATTATTAGTGGTGTGAGTTTATGAAGCAATGATTCAAAAGGAGAGCCATAAAAAAGATTCTACCCTTCCTCTTTAAATTTCTGTGTGTGTTTGTACATGTGCTCATACACATGAGTAACGACAACTTGAAAAAATGGGAATAGCAAGTAATTTCTGTGGATCAATAATAATTGTTCAATTCAGAACAAAGTAAAGACAGTAGTTCTAAGAGCTAAGGCCAATCTCCCAAACTAATGTCCAAACATATATTATCTAGCACATAACCAGTGTCCATATGATATTCCTAACACCTTTACATTCCATTCATGGTTTTGCGAGGGAAGAAGGGGCAGCTCTGTGCCTAGGGTTCTGCCCGCAAAATAAATACTGGACACGTCTCTGCATCTAGGAGTGCCCAGAACTGCACCCCTGGGGTATGTGTTCCTGCCCTGGATTTCCATGATCCCTCGAAGTCAACCATGACAGGCTGATACATATATGCTAGGAGGAGACAGAGAGGGAGACCTGTGAGTTCTGAGATTCATTAAGAAAGACAGAATGAACCCCCTGGATGTTGGAGGTTGCCATATACTTGCTGAAATCTGGGGCACTGGAATTTTTCATCTAGGACTAATAAAGCTCAATTCCTTGAAAGGCAAGAGACTATGTTTGGGCCTCAAGCATTCCTCGTCCTGTATTGCATCTAAATGTTGAGTCTCACTAGGTGGGTAGATTTTAGGCTGTTCTACATCATCCTAGAGGCCAGGTGTGGGCTCCAGCATCCCTATCCTACTCTTTAGTCTCCCAACACACTCATACACACTTTAAACAGAACCATCTCTCCACTTTGATGTTTTATTTTTTGAATTAAGTACCTAGCTGAAAAAAATTTGAAAACCACACAAGAGGGTAATCTCTAGAATTCCTTGAAGTCTAACATTTTACCCAGAAGTGTATTTCATAAATACCAATGGGCATCAGAACTGGAGAAGACGGGCACTTTCTGGAGTTCTTCTGCTTCCCTAAATACTTTCACCTGATGTTTGAAACGTTCCAATTAGAGATTTGTTCCTTTGGCTCAAATGCTCACCCTCACTTTAAATGCAAATATTTCTGAGGGGATCAATACATTAAATATCAGTCATCAATCAATCGGTCAATTCATATCAATCTCTCGATGTGAATACATTTCTCACATCCTTTCCTGAGAGCTGGTTTTAGGAAGGAAATGAGAAGACTAGTTCCTTGAGAGGGAAGGCAGCTTAGGAAAGGGAAACCTAAGTACAGATGATGTCATTTCACCTTGGCCAGCCCTGGGAAGATGTCCCATTGGTAAATAAGTAGACCTTTAGCAATTTTTGTATGCCCATTAATTTGGAGAAGTTTTAGGACACTCATCAGTACATTTAATTGAGGCACTTTCTACTTGAAGCATTGCCCTGCTATACCCTGATACAACAAGGAACACAATCACACAATCATTCCTTTCAACACAAAAATCACTCCCTACCTAACTTCATATCACAAGCAAAGCTTTAAATGTGCCATAGATTGCGAGGGAAATGTCAGCTGCTTGGAATCTCTGGGAATTTATCCTCCTCCTCCTGCTTTCAGTTTCTTACCTGGTTAGGCACACACGCACGAAGTCTGCTGCGTTTTCTGAGAAGTGCTCTGGTAAAGGAGGCATCAGTCCTCGGTGTGCTCCAATGTAAAACATGGCTGCCATTCTGTCCATGGAAGCCAGTGGGGGCTTCCCTGTGGCCATCTCAAATACAGTGCAGCCAATGCTCCAGATGTCTGACTTCCTTCCGTAGCCAGACTCATTGATGACTTCTGGGGCCATCCAATATGGAGTCCCATGCATGGACTTAAGCATGTCACTGTGGGTGCCATTTAAGCCAGCCCAGGCCAAACGTTTGGCACAGCCAAAGTCAATCAGCTTTATTATTCCAGTGGGCATGAGCATAACATTATTTCCTTTGATATCTCGGTGTACCACACAGTTCTCATGGAGATAAGCAACACCTTGCAATATTTGTTTTGTATATTTACAGAACACCATCTCAGGCAATGGCCCAAAACGGTTTATAATACTAGAAATTGAGCCACCGGGAACAAACTCCATGAAAATGCTTACAGTGTTCTCTTCCAAGCATGTTCCCAAATAGGCCACAATGTTAACATGTTTCAGTGCTTTGAGTAAATCTACTTCTTCTTGCAGTTTCCGGTATTCTTTTTCAGTAGCTAATTTGTCAGAGGTATCCAAAGCCACCTGTTTTACAGCTATTAGCTGTCCTTGGTTAGTTAGACCACAATATACCTAGAAGTAAACCAATATCTTATGATTAAATATAATCCAGTGTTTCAATGGAGCCAAGATGGGGATGAGAAGCACGGTGAATGGATATCGTAATGGCTTGGAATCAAGAAGCCTGGATTGGTTAGAATCCTGGCTTCACTATTCCCCAGCGGTGTAACTTTGGATAAGTTGGATAACCTTTGTGACATCTATAAAACTGAGGTGACAATACTTACCTCAGAAATATCTATGATGACTACATGAAATGGTGGTTTGGGAGAACTCTTCACTATGTATCAGTGCTAAAGTTCTAAGGAGAGAGAGGAAGGCAGGTCCTGAGACAATGCAGCAGCCACCTCTGTCATGTGATTTCAGTGCTTTCATGTCTTCTCATCTTCTCACTGATTCCTGAAATGTACCCAGCTAGAAGTGTAACATGTTATATCTGGGGGTCAGTCTTTTCTTTACCAAATCTATGTAAACACTATTTAAAATGCTAAGACTTTAGGTGATCTTTCATGCAAATCACAAAAGTAAGGAACTTCTTTTGTTTTTGCCACTCAGCAATGATTCTTCCAACTTCTAATAAGATATTCTGAGCTATTGAACAAAGAGACTTCTTTCCCATTGGATTTGGACCTAGGAGAATGAGAGGCTAGAAAAGCAATGGCTATTGTACCACCAGATAAAACCTGAGAATGATGACATTGACTCCTGAAATGAGCTGTGCTGGGAGCCACACCAACTTCAGCTCCTTTGGTTACATAAAGTAGCTAACGTTCTTTTCCTTGAGCCAGTTTGAGTTGGGGTTCCTGTTACTCTTCCAACTAAAAGAGTTCTAAGTAAAAGAGCATTGTGGAGAGTGGGGGAGGGAGGGCTCACAGAGAGGTTTAAGGAAGAGGAAGGGGTCAAGGATGAGTGGGGATTTTCGGTTTCATCTTATTTCCCATTTAACTTACTGTGCCGTAGGCTCCCTTCCCAAGGATCTCACCCTTGGTCCACAGGACAGGTTCTTCATACTTTAAACTAGTTTCAGAAAATATCTTTTCATTGAAAAATATTTCCTCCTTGTCATATATCCTGAGCCCATTCCTATGTCTCTAGAAGAATGAGACAAAAAGAAAAGTCGCCATTAAATTCTGAGTCATTGGGATGGAGAGAAGGGGTGGAGAGTATAGTCGAGTCGTCTTTTCTCCTAACTTAGGACCAACTAACTAGAGAAAGCCAAATAGGTGCCACTAACTAATCACGTTGGATGCCCCTTCTTGTTAGCCCACCTGCAGCTTCCCCATGCCTATAGCCTCCACTGAGGTCATACCTGAAACCTTCCCTTTTTACCACTATGAAACTTCCCCACTCTTCTGCCTGCCTTTGAGTCACTGCCAAATGCAAGTGATAGTGGCTGACTCCTTTGTTATAGTGAGCTCTGAATGGCCGCTGTCTTTTCTTTATTTCCATAACACACACACACACACACACACACACACACACACACACACACACTCAAACACACACATATACATAAGCACATACGCATACATTTACATAAACATTTACACAGAAACATGCACACAGGTAGAAACTTTCTAACATACGCACGCATAGCCATAACAAGCAAGTCTAGTGATCAAGACCAGGTAAAATTGACTGAAGATCCACAGTCCTCTAGACCCTCGACACTCAAAGAATTTGCAGACCAGCTATATCAGCATCATCTGGGAGCTTGTTAGATATGCAGAATCTCAGGCTCCAGACATACTAAATCAGTGTCTACATTTGAACATGATCTCTAAGAGATTTGCATTCACAGTAAATTTGTAGAAGCCTTGCCCTAGAAATCAGGAAACAAGTATCTCTGTAGAACTTAGACCACCTTTCCCAACTGGTTGATCAGGACCCAAAATGCTTTGCTTTGATCTCCTCTACTAGTTCTTAAAAATAAATGATGATGGAAACGTAGAGGCATGGTGAAGGCCCTTTACAAACGAGACTTCCTGTGTGGCCACCTTCCTTATGAAGGAGCACGCACGCCTCCGAAGGGCCCTTTGGGTTCCTCCTCTCAATCCTCTCATGTTTCTATCCACACTGAAATTTTAAGGGCTGCTTGGAAAAAATAAGGTCACAAAGGTCAGTTTTGACTCCATGATTGCAGGGCGAGGTTACGGGCTTATTATATTTACTAGCTTGTTAGTTTTCCATTCATTTTAAATGGCAGAGTAGTAGACTCGTGTTAGACACACAGGTATACACATACCTTCATTTCCTACCCTAGCCTGGAGGTCTCTCTAACCACAATCTGCCTCCCAGCAGAGACCAATATCACCAGAAAGGTGGAACTGGCTTTTTAGGACAAGGAGAATCCATCATGATGATGTGATTAAGGGCATGAGGCTGGAATGAGAATGCCTGGCCCCACCACTCACTAACTGCATGACTTCCTAAATCTCAATTTCCTCATCCACAAAATGGAGAGTTGATAGTACCTTTAGCATTTATCTCATAGAGCTGTTATGAAGCATATAAAGGCAACGATATGACGCATCTTGCTCATACGAGGTAAGTTCTCAATAAGCCTAGTTTTGGTAAAATTATTTACCTAGCGTATTCTTCTGATCAACTATTTAAAATAATTATTTCGGATCCTGATACAGTGTGATATAAACTGAGTTAGTTCTCCATAAATAATATTTTGGCGAAACCTATTGTTTCTGTCTTTAAAATATGAGTAGAACAAGAGGCTTATGTTCTTCAGTGAGAACTAAAACGAACAAAACAGAACTATCTGTTGATATCCTTCTCCTCAGTTTCCACTCCCATGCCAAACAGATTAAAAGCTTATGCTTCCTTGAGAGCAATGACTAAATCTTGCATGCCACCATGCCTCTAGTTCTTAGCCCAGTGCCAGAAACACAGTAGGCATCGATAATGTTTGTGTGTTAAAGTAGTGAGCTAGATGGTGAGCCACTTCAGGGGTCGTGTTAATTTCTCTCTCACACACCATCTAGAGCAATGTGTTACCCATAATTATCTCTCTGCTGATATTTGTTGATTGAAAACTTCATCACCATTTAATACTAACTGACTTAAATAAAGTTTTGCTATATTAATATACCCAAAATGATTCTATTGCTGTATCAGGCTAATTTCCAGAAGTAAGGCAACATGATGGAAATCTCTTAGCCTGAGAGCCAAGGGACCTGGATTCCAAACTTACAAGCAAACAATGGGACCTGGATGAAATTATTTAATTGTTTATGGTTTCCGATTCCTCATATGAAAATAAGGGGTTAGACCAGATTGTCTCCGAGATCCTTCCCACCCCAGTGAATCACTGATTCTAATTATACCAACCTGTATTTCGACATTTGTTTCTCCCCCAAATTCTTGCATGGTATTTCCTTTTCTACCGAAGACAAGATTTAGGTTTTCAGGATCTGTTTCATTTACCATTATCTGGCAAGAGTTGTTATCTTTCTCATCAAGAGCTAATAGTTCTGCAGCTAGACACCCTAATAGTTCATCTGTCAATTCTTCATTCTTTATAGAGTCTAGAATTTCTTGGGAAATTGAATTTGCATCACTTAAAGTTTTTCCAAACGTTTGATGTGTAATTGACTTATTAGCTAAACTATCCTGATCCAAAGAATGTGCCCAATGTTGATATACTTGGGAAGATTCACTTCTTTGTTTTTCTTGGAAAGAGAAGCTCATAACTGTTTTAGACTTATCTGAAACACTATCAAACTCTACATCATTAGTTAAAATTTGTTTGGCATTTATTTTACCAAGAGATGCTGTATTCTGCTTTTCTTGTAGTACATGCTTGTTGGAACTCTTCTCACTGGGCACTGCCCAGCTGTTTTCTGAAAGGTGCATCTGGTGATGTTCGTCTTCAAGTTTATGCAGATCTCTGAGGCTCGTGGCAAGTATCTGATTATTAGAAATGTCTCCTTCATCAGCGGATTCTTCCATAGAGACTTCTTCAACAATGGACAAATCTGACACAGGAAGGGATTCGTTCTGCTCAGTGGACTGCTCATGAATCTGAGCGAAGTTAATGGGCTGAACTTCATCTTCAGAAGATAGAAAGTCATTTCCTGAAAACGTTATCTGCCACTCAGGTTCTGAAACACCACCACCATTTTCAATGTCTTGTACGTTGCTACCTACAACCTTACAAACTCTTTCTTTAGAAATTAAACTTTTGTGCTTTTGTTTAATTCCAAGCAAAGCCTTTGGGGGTTTAGCATGTGGTCTTTTCTGAGAAAGTCTTGTTCTGCTGTTGCTGCTCCTCTCATTGTGTGAAGACCGGCATTTATTGGTGATACATCTGCCTGATGGAGCTGAGCATATCTCTCGATAATATTTGTTTTCACGCTGTTCAGCCTCTCGCATGTTACAATAAACAGGGGTCCCAAACATTTCATAGATTCCAGGTCCGTTAGCAGTTGAATTGATTTCTTTGAACATGTCACTATACTTAAGATCTAGGTAATTTAGTCTTGGCTCTGTTGACTGAACAGGGAGAGAAACTGAAGACTTTTTTATTCCTGTATTTTTACAGATGCAAGGAAATGACTGTTTTTTAGGGTTCAGAGCCCGGTAAGCTGATTGTTTCTTTTCCGTCTGTGGCATTCTCCTTTGAAACTTTGGTGATTGCTGAGGTCTGGGGTCAACAAGACCCAAAGCAGGGAAAATTTGAGTTTTTATGCTGGTTTTATGCATGGTAGGCTTAACGGAACTTTCAATGGAAATCATGAAATTCTGAGGTGTCCCGTTACTGTTCTTGGTTTTTAGATCCAACTTATTTCTATGGGTTTTCACCTTATGCCTGTCATTGTCTTGGTGTGCAAGTATGTTGAAGCTGTTGTTATTGTGAAGGGTGCCTTTTCTTTTTTGGAGGCTTGGTTTGGCCATTGCTGGTTCCTTAGGAGTTCCATCTCCAGGGAAAGTGATGTGGATAAGAGGCACCATCCCATTTATTTCTGGTTTGGTTGCCTCTGCTATTGATATTTTTATGTTTGTCTCCATGCTACTGTGGCCTTCTGGGATTTTTTCAATGGGGCCATCAGGGACTACATGGGACAAATTGTTAAATACAGTAAACTCTTCTAAAGTGTGGTTTGGCTCAGTTACTTCACCTTTATGTACTGAAGCACTTTTTGAATCAGCTTTATCATTTCTAGTCTCTTTATCCTGGTTTAGAGTTATTTCTGAATGCTGGTCTTCTTGGAACTTGATTTGTATGGTACATCCAACTTCTGAATTTTGTTCATAACTTCTGGCTACAGAACCCTCTTTCTTACCTGATGAAAGATATTGAGAGTTCTCTTCTGCTTTTTTCATTTCACTATCATGGCAGTCAATATCCACTTCTCTATCTGTAGGAACATTTCTTTCCTTAAAATTTTTAAAGGACAACAAAGACTGCCCCTTTTCAAAGTGAGAGATTTGACTTTTGTCACATCTTTCTGTTACCTTAGATTTCTCATTCTCCTCCACCTCCAGGTATTGTCTGTGATGGTTAGCCCTCCAAAAAGAGCACATGTTTCTGGACCAAATAGAGTTATCAGGAGACCTGAGAGTCTGATCCACGAACACCTTAAACGGGGCTTCCTGTTGCTTGTTTGACGGTCTAAACTCATCAGATCGACTAACAGGCTCTGAGAGCTTAGGCACAAAGGATATGAGGCTTGGAATCTTTCCTTCTCTCTCTTTTTGATCCTTGTGATTTTGAGGGATAGTAAGGAGACCTGGTCTCTTGGGCAAGAATGACAATGGTGGCAGAGGGAACTAAAAGGAAAGAGAAAAAGCTAATGAATACAGAAATATATAGGCATTTCACCTTAACTGTTTTAAAGCAATCTAAAGAGATTCTAAGATTCTCTTTAGGAAGGCCTTGTACTTAGGAAATACAAAGATATCCTGAAGATCGCAATTGTAAAAGCTAAAAGCTCATTCCCAGTTTTTCTTTAGAACCAAAGTAAAACAATACTTTTAAAAACCAAGATTATCATAGATATAAAGATGCATGGTTATATATTTAAAAGAAAGGCTCTATAACGTAAAATTTAAAAATTTAGGATGAGACATTATTTTTCTCTCTTTTCTTTTTACATTCCATAGAGTTGATCTAAGACCTTTAAAATTCCCACTTAGAACACATTTATACACTGATGGTTTTAAATTCTCCTTTGCCCTCCAACTATTTTCAAACTAAGCTACTTTTTATTATCAACCTCTAGAGGTCAATGTAACCCAACATATAATATTCAGCTTTCTGGTCATTAAACTATAAACCCTTTAACTTTATCCTTCTTTTCACTGAGGCCTTTTCCTGGGTATACAGATTTAATACCTAATTGGATCAGAATATTTATGGGCTGGATCTTGAGTGGTAATTAAGAGCTCTGTTTCATTTTCATTCTATTGCCACCTGTGTGTAAGAAGAAAGGAAAAGAAAAGGAACCTGACACTAGAAAGTTAAGCATTAAAATCAGGTGAGATGCAGTTCTAACCTCCCTCTCCCCACAGTTTTATTGCCTGAATGATTTTCTTCCATTCCTCAAAAGCAACAGGGGATAAAGACGGGTTCTCTCAGAGCTAAAACATCTCCCTAATAGCAGCCTTTTGTTTTTCTTAATTTTTTTAGGCCAGTTAACTCCTCTTTACAACACTAAGCAGTACCTATGCATTTTCTCAAAGGCTCCTGGATGCAGAAGAATTGGAAAGTTGAGAGGATTGCAAAAATCCCTCTAAATGCTTTACTTATAAATTAGACAACTAGGAAAGTCTTTCTGCCACTGGGAAAAAAAATGACCTAATTTCTAGATATGTTATAAGAGGGCAAATTAAAATATGTCTAAGAGATCTACTCCTCTCATTATGTAGAGAACAAGAAATACCTCAGAGAAGAAGTGTACATGGCAAGGTATAATTTCTCCAGAAATTATTTGCTACTCTATAAACTATATGTAAGTTGTTTTTCCAAGATATAATGGCTGAGGATTTCATTTCTAAGTTCTGTGATAGAGTTTGTCTTTAACAATACAAATCCTCTGGTGTTAATTCTTAAGTCAATAACACTAAACCTAATCTTACCTCAATTCTTCGGCAACCGTACTTCTTATCAGTGGTAGAAAACTCTATAATAAGAAAAAAAAATAAAAATTAGATATTCTTTTCTTTTAGAGTCAAAAGGAAAATTTATTAGAAAAGAGATAACATTCTACAGACAGAGTATGGTCTCCTCTCAGAGGCAGAGAGTGAGAGGGACAGTGAGATTGACAGTGAAAAGGACAGAGTAAAGAATACTAAGAGAAGGACTGAGAGGGACAATGAGAGAGACAGAGTAGAGGCACTGATAGGGACAGTGAGAGGGACCCTGAGTGTTCAGGGAATTCAGTTTATATATCATTCTTTAGTTCATGTGAGTTATAATTGAAAAGACTTTGTTAACCCATTTCCTTTGATATGGACATACAGTGAGAAAGGGGAAGAGTATGTAGTGTGAAAAGGAGAAAATATGTAGAGTGAAAGACCTGCTGGTAGTTTCCAACCTTTAATCCATAGGTTCCCTATGGTTTTAGCCACAGGGAATGACTAAAATGAGATATTCTTGGTAGTAGAGTAAACACAGCAGCCTTACGCCAGAGTTTGAGGATGGAGTTATCTTAGTGCTGAGGTTTGAAAAAGTCAAAATTAAGAGTTACTCCAGGTGTAATGCATATGGAGGTAGGTATTACGGTACGATTACACAAGTCTTTAGGCTACTTCCACTAAAGAGATTGTTGTGTTATATATAATGTTGTTTCTCATATACATGTATGTTTTATATATGTAGATATAGATTTATATATTTATATTACATTTATATTTATATTCCGGCAGGAAACACAAGATCTCTGGATCAGAGAACAGAGCATCTATTATTCATGAGACATCATAGCACTAGTTCCCCACACCCCAGTTCCACACAGGGCAGTGCACTGAAAGCCAAGATATTTACCTTCACATACAGTAGGGTTGCACCATAGGAATGAACCTTGAAATTATGAGACTCAGAGCTTATATATGGTGTTTGGCATATCAACCCATGTTTTCCTCTTGAGAAAGAGAGCCCTTTACTGTGACATGGAAGCAAATGTATCCAGGAGAGAGGGGAAATGTGTCTCTGGGTTTTATTACCCTATAAAGTAAGCAAACCATTCCTGGGGAAATAAGCCTCTGAATCTCTCTGGAGGAATACACTACCTCTAATTTCTAAGACATGTTTATCATTCAATCATCTTCTAACCCAGTTTCTTAGTGCTTCTTTGCTCAGAAAGCCTGGACTGTGCAGAAATCTGAAAATCTTCATGTATAATTATCTCCCAACAGTGATTTGAACTCAAACATGGAATAGATCATAAATTCTGAAGGGAGGTATGGGGGAGGGGAAGATGAGATTTACTAGGTAATGTAAAACCTAGTTGTCGTCTTCTTACCCAAAAGTCAGAATGGTCCCTAAAACTCCAGTCACTGCTACAGCTTCAAACTGAAGCCAAAAGTGTCAATGAGTTCAGGGTCAAAGCAGGTTGCATAAATAGATGAAGGAGAACAGGTGAAGATAGTGGTAAACTGAAATCATGTGCCCCAACTAAAGGGACATACATTACCAAGTTCTAACTATGTTGCCCATTCCAGATGGGTAATCTGTCACTGCAAGATCTCCCAATTGTCAAGAGAAGCCAGAAAGCTGGAGATTTTATGTGAAATCTCCTTCCCGCCCCCTGCTTTTAATGCTTCGAAGGCCCAACAAAACATGTTTGTGGGTCCATATTAGCCACAAGCTGCCATTTTGAAATTTCACTTAGAAACAGACTTCTTTAAGATGTAACACAGGTAAAGAGGCCATTCTTAAGTGAAAAATGGTCACGTAAGGATCCCAGCTGGAGGGGCACAGGCATTCCCCTTAGCTATAGCTGGCCAAGGCACCTCCCCCCAATTCTTTGGCATTTATTCGATGAATATTTATTAAGTGCCTACGGAGTGGCCAACACTGTCTCAGAAGATGGAAATACAGTTGTGAACAAAAACAAAATCCTTGCCTTCCTAAAGATCATATTCCAGAGGTTAAGATTTCTTGTTGAAAAGATACTACAAGTTAATACCAGAAATACCACTGAATATAATTTCTACTTGAATGTACATGTATAACCTCCTGAGTTAAAAACAAAAACTTTCAGGTATTATTATAAATATTTGGACAAATAGTATTCAGTGTTGGTAAGGAATGATGTGAGCTAGAAAGTCACTCTTAAACATTCGCAGTGAGATAGCAGATGTAAAATCTCTCTGGTAGATAATTTGGCAATATATGTTGAAAGCCTTTTAAAATGTATATAGCATTCCAGTTAAAAGATTGAATGTACAAGCTTTTCTCCACTCTTGTCACAAATTTCACTAAAATGACAGTAAAGGAATTTAATAGATGTAAATAAGAACAACAAAAACCCAGAGGATAAAACTGCAGATGAGCAATGCCAACAAAATTTTGGACAGTGATAACTGTATGGGTGAATAATAATTGATTAGTTGTCAGCTTTCCCTATTCTGCTCACTACCTGCAGGGGAGAGAACCCAACAAGAAATAAGAACTTTAGAAAAGGGCAAGAATTGAAGATATCAAGTACCACTGAAGGTGGGGTTGCAGGTGAGGTTGAACACAAGGGGTCGCTTGTAAATCTATGTAAGGAGTAGGCTCCAGATTCCCTGCCCTGCCCCACTGGTCAGGAGCTGCTCTTCTCCGTTCCTGGCAAATGGCTGGAAGTTTACTCTCTGGAGAGCTTGAAACAAAGATGCTAAGGAGCTAGAAATAGCTGAGAGCAGAAATGGAGTTCTGGAGTAAAAATAAGAAGGTTGAGTGAAAAGGCTTACTGACACATTGAGAAGCTTGGGGATTGCTTGTGTGTAAAGAGAGTAATGTAAGAGTGTTGAATCCTAATGGATAAGGTCTAAATCTAACAATCAAACAATATCATTATAAATATGTTATTTAGAAATATGACAGTATATTCTAGAAGTGGTCTTGGAATACTATTTATACTTTTTATTTTCTATTTTTTATATTTGCTCATCTGTCTTTTCTGTCATTTTTCAATCGACATATATTATCTAATTTTTAAAAACTACATTTAGGTAAATAAGAAAAGGGGAGGGGCAAACACTAGCCTGGACATTTTCAGACAAAATCAAAGCACCTACGGAGCAGCTCCTATTACAGGAAACTGACTCAACCAAGTTTATTCTTGTCTAGGTGTACATAGTTATTTTTCTTATATCTTCAAGATTCTCTCTGTGGTTGGGCTGGAAGAAGAGAATGTTTCCAACATGTCCAACTCAGTTTCTCCATCCATATTCCCTCCAGTTGGTACCTGCACCAACTTCTCCTTCTTTTCTCTTAACCATCTATAAGACTGACTATGTTTATCCTTTCTTTCCCTCATAGATAAAGTGGAACTCAGATGGAAGGTATGAACTCTGAATACAGATGATGTGATGTTGCTTAAGCACACTGGCTTCAGGAATAAGTGGTCCAGGCTTGAACCCGGCCTCTGTAATTCACAAGCTATGTGACCTGGGCACACACTTAATTTAACCTTCTTAGGCCTCAGTTTCTTCATTTCTAAAACAAGTATGCTAATATGATCTATATCAGTGGATATTTGTGCCTTGCAATAATAGACACTAAATAAATGATTATTGTTGTTATTATTAATTCAATATATAATTTTTTAAAGTTAGGTGCCAGACCTGGTGGTAGGTGCTTGGAGGTGTGATGGTTTTTGTCTTTGTAACCTGGTAAAGACAGACACACAAACAAATAGTGACAATTCAACCCCATGAGTGTTATGGTGCAGATAAGGTCAGGATTCTATGGGAGTCCAAAGGAATGGTGACTCATCCAGTCTTTGAGAAGTTCAGGAAGATTTTCCAGAGGAAGTTGTATCTCAGGTGACACCCAAGGATGGCATAATGTTCCAGCAGAAAAAGAGAGTATGTGCAAATATTTTAGTATTTGTTCTGGGAATGGAAGCCGTTCAGTAGCACTAATGTTTATTGTACTGCTGAGGAAGGGTGGTGAGAAAGAGGCTGAAGCGAGACTGCTGAGAGTTGGAGCTAACTTGTTTGATTTCAAGGAACAAGACTCTGGGTCTATCTACTTCACAGTCCAGACCTGATATTAACACCCTTACCTACAGCCTATCAAAACATCGCTTCAATATTATGACAACTGAAATAAGCCAGGCACAAAAGGACAAATATTATATGACTTCATGTGTATGAAGTACCTAGAATAGTCAAATTCATAGAGACAGAAAGTAGAATGGTGGCCACCAGGTTACAAGGAAGAGAAGAATGGGAATTATAGTTCAATGGGTATAGAGCTTCAGTTTTGCAAGACGAAAAAGTTCTGGGAATAGATACTGGTGATAGTTGCACAACAATGTAAATGTACTTAATGCCATTAAATTGTACACTTAAAAATAGTTAAAATAGTAAATTTTAAGTGATGTACCTTTTACCTCAATTAAAGAAAAAACATTACTTCATTTAAATTTCTCTACCCATTTCTCTACTTCATTTAATCTCTCTACCCATCCCCCCAAATTTTATAATAATAATTTTAGTTTTTTCCCTTGTTTGGTGAGATGCCTCACAGTTCCCCTGCTGTGCAATCTCGCTCATTGCAATAAGTCAAGATATACATCTTTTTGGACTACATGTTTGTCCCTGCATTGTTCAAGCTGATTAGCTTGGGACAGTGGTAAGCAAATATAAAAGATAGCATTGCCCTAAGGGAAAATGCTGACATCAGGACTGCTATCTGGTAACTAAGTCTTGGGTTGGATAGAGAGGTAAACTCAAATCCTGGAGGAAAGCATCCTCAGTGTGGGCCTCAAAGATGCCCACAAATAAACATCAACCGAATACGAGTTCACAGTAAAGATTTTCAAACACTCAAGAAGAAGATAAACATTTGCTGAAAGAAAAATAAAGAAATCGCTGTGTGATTAAATGGACTCACCTTCAGATTTTCTTTGCTGGCCCTTCGGAAAGTGAGAGACATTTTCTCTAGCTACAGATTTGGAGATGTTTGGTTCCAAGCAAGGTCTTGGCAACAAAATGCCCAAGTTCTCATCACAGAGCTCCTTGGAACTTTTCTCTTTCAGAAGCAAAGTCTGCGTGGTTGACATCTTTGTCTTGAAGTCCATCATCTCAGTTTCATTTGGAAGAGAAACAGAATGTGCTTGTGCCCATTCTTGATGCACTGAGGTTATCTGACTAAAAGGGGGAGGAAATGATTTGGTTTAAAATTCGTTCCCCATGTCTTCTGGATCCCCAGTGCTCAGTCCAGCTTGACATCACTAGAAAATATGAAGAACTATTTCCAATGGTGCTGCTGAGTAGGATGGCTGTATTCCTGAAAGGACAAGCCCTCTTCACCCCGCTCCCCCACTCACTCCCTGACTTGTCTACCCTCTGCTTTGTACATTTTAGTTTCCCCAGTCTCTGTTCCCTTGGGCAGAGAAGTCAGAGGGGCAAAGGACAGGCATAGGGGATGTGCCCTCTTACTTCTCCAAAGGCATTAACCAGCCCAGTGCTTCTCAAGCTATCTTTGGTGAAGACCAGTTTGAAAATTTTCCAGACCATTGTGGACTGATACTTTTGTAAAATGTAATAAAAGTGATTTACTATGAAAATCAAAAACAAATATAAGCCCCAATTTTTTCACTATCAGATCCATGACCATAAAACCACTTCATCAATTGCTATACAATTTTTTAAATGTTTAAAATTTCAAGTTTATACTGACTTCATCATGGACTGGTGATGGAAGGATCTCAGAACCACACTTTAAGTAGCACTGATGCAGGGGAAGAAAACTATGGCCTCCTTTTGTAGTTTCATTGAATCACAGCCACATCCATTTGTTTTCAAATAGTCTATGGCTGTATTCTAGATACAATTGCAGAGCTGAATCATTGCAACAGAAACCATATGGCCCACCAAGCCTAAAATAATTATCCGGCACTGCCACAATAATATTTATTTTGACCTTTGCTTTCAGATGTTTTCTTTGGGGTTGATTTATGGAAAATGTAGGTTACCACACAAGTGTCATTTCATACTTAAATTTCAATCTAACACTTCCTTACTCATTTTCTTTTAAATCTTCTTGGCTCATTTGTTGGGAGTGACGAACATCTCTTGGGAAAGTAACAATGATCTCGACACCTATAGAAATGGATGACAATAGTAGAAAGAAAAAAAAGTAATGAATTCTAGTGGTAACCAAGAGAAGTATTTTTTTTTTTTTTTTTGGTTATTTGGCTAATGCATTCTTAGAGAAAAGTAAAAAAAAAAAAGTAATGAATTCTAGTGGTAACCAAGAGAAGTATTTTTTTTTTTTTTTGGTTATTTGGCTAATGCATTCTTAATAATTACTGAATAGAATTAACCAGGAACTAAGGTTTAGCAATCTTTGTGTCTTTCCTGTTCTGCATATGATAGATCTCAAAGAAATGCTTTATTAAAGAACAAACAAAATGTATAACAAAATTTTCCAGACGTAAAATAAAGTTTTATGGTGAGAAGTGCTGTCCCTAGAATGGAAAAAAAAACAAGACTGCCTTCTGTAAAGTATAACTGATGGCACCTACTTCACAGGACTGCTGTGAGAATTAAATGAGATAACATGATTTCCCATGAGAGCTTGCTTGTATTTGTAATTTTGCTCATCTCTTGTCTGATTCCATGGAATGATTCCCAGTATAACCCTTAAGACAGAAAGTCCCAACTTGAAGAATAGATGCTTGTGCACAATATACCATGTTAAACAAATATCCCTAAAAAAACTATAAACCATGCCAAAATGGCCTGTACTTTAAAGTTTGTTCTTCTATTCATTTTTTCCACTCAACAGGCTTTTATTAAGTGTATGTGCCAAGCCCAACACTTTGTGCTGAAGATATAGAAATAAACAAGGTGCAGCTGTGGCCCTAGTAGTGATGATAAATCTCTATGGTGAGGTAAGCATTGTGATAGAAGTGTGAGAATGGTGATGTGGGAACATAGAGGAGTATCCTTCTAGGAGGACGCAGTGCTTGTTCCAGTATTCAGTCCTCTCCATTTATTTGTCAGCTATTTATTTAGTCTGCGTGTTCCTGGAAGAGCCAGCCATAGTTGTAATCACCTCCACTGATTGAATGCTAGGGAAAAAGAATAGCAGAGAAGATAACACTGGGGTGCAAATCAGACAGATTTGAGTCTACATCCCTCCTCTGCCACTTCTGAGTGACCCTGGGAAAATTACTCCATAGATATTATCAGCAGCATTATCGCAAGTAAGGCTTTTATTTTTTTAAAGGACTTTAGCTATTTTGTCAAATATACGGTAATCACCATAATGAAAGCATTGTTATTGTTCAATTTTTATGTCTGTGTTATTTATGAGACTAATGCATTAAAAAAAGTAAATATTTCCAAAAAGAAAACTTCTGTTTCCTAAGTGGGGAAATAGTAATGGTATTTACTATCTTTTTCATCCAATATTGTATTTGTGGTACCACAAAAACGTATCTAGCTTTGGTCTTCTTGATGTTTCTCAAATAAGACAACTTACTTAATTGCACATTCTCTAATTCTATACGATAGCAAAGAATGCATCACTAAAAATAAAGTTTCTTTGAAATAGTCGATTTTTAAAAACTTTTCAAAGATCCTATCACCACACTATTTATGTAGCATAAAATGAGAGACTTGGAATTACTGTACAGAGCTGGAAGGAATTTAGAGATCATTTGATCAAAGCCCTGCATTTTAGAGACGAAACTGATACCCATGAGGTTGTATGACATGCTCAGGGCCACTCTTGTACTGGAAAGGAAGATGGATGTCTTTCATAAAATTTGAATAATCATTCTGGAATGCAAAAATCTAGCTGACATGTTAGAGTAAGAAAAACATACAGCGTACATTCCTAATAACTAAACTGTCAGTGAAAACAATGTTCTAGTACAAAGGTGAGGTTCAGTTAGTACTTCACTATGGAAGTTAGAAAACTGTGCAGAGTGTATTCATGAGAATACATTCTTAAGAATGACAGTACTTTTACAACTATTGAACATTAATAAACCCAGAATGTGTTTAAGCAAATGTATGTGTTCAAAGTTTGTTAATTGGTTGATTTCTTTTTCACATCAAGGAACAAAGATACAATAAGCAAGTAGAAATAACACTTGCCTTTTTAGAAATTGTTAAAAGTTAATGGGCGCATTCTAATTGTGGGCCCTAAGTGGGGGAAAAAATTATAAAATGTGCTGATTCTGAAATCTGCTCAGAACATACAAATGTGTTCTCTGTTTTGTCTCTTGAATACTGTGAGTAATATGAGAGGTCGTGGGAGCCTCTGAAACCTACCCAGTGAGCCAGAAAAGATGATGCATAGTCACATGTAAAAATAAAACATTTGCTCGTATCTGAGTGCATGTTTCCACGTAAGGCGTAAATTAACCCCACTAGAAGATGTTATAGTAGAGAGAAGCTAAAAGGCAACATTTAAACATAGGCAGAAACATAATTTCTTCATAGAAGTGAAAATGACCATAAAAAATTTAAAATGATAGTTAATTTGTAATGTTATTATTTAAATGAAAATTTAAAATTGGCCCAGTCTAATTCATTCAACAAGAAAAAATTATTTTTGCCAGAAAATTCTTACTTTACTATGTTTTTTGCTTGTTCTGTTTAAAATGATGGGCATAGAGGTTCAAAATATTTTGATAACCTCTCCACGTTTTGATAATTTCTCAAATCCTAAATCTCAACACAGAATTTTAAAAAGCTACATTTTCCAGCCTCCTTTGCCATTAGAGTTCAGAAAGCTAATTTGGGAGATGGAGTCATCTGAGTTACATGAAAAATGATAAGGTGCAGGCTTCCTTTTTGCTGGCGTGGGTGTCCACATAGGGAGGAGGTTCTAAGGTTGATGTGGAACCAGTTCCCTATTTGTGGCAGAGGCAGTATGATTTGGGAGTCAGTAGCAACCAGTTTCGAGATGTAGTTACGGGAATTCTTTCTGACAATTCAAACTATATTCTGTTCTTCTTTGACTTTTCAATGGTCTATGAACTTTCTAATGTCTTTTAAAACTTCCTTTTAACCCAAATTGAGTAGGTTCTGTTATCTGCAACTAAAAATATTGATGGATATACAATATAGTAAAAAAAAAAAAATTGAAGCCCAGTAACTTCAGGAAATAGATTCTTACTCACTCATGAAAAGAGGAATTTTACATGCTCAATTTCTAGTCTACAAAGTTTATATCTGTTATATACGTTCTGAGAAAATAGCTGATTGAGGAATGCAAAAAGATTTTTATATTAAGGAAAAAGATGAAGGATTTTTTTTTTGGAGTCCATAAATTGTATTTTACACATTACTATCTATAAAAGCCTATGATAAAGCAAATGCATACTGCAGGAATATTTGGTTGTTAAAGTCTATGAGAGTGATCTGAACATGGAGTTGAGTGAGTGTGTATGTGTGTGTGTGTAATTAGTGATTCTCCCTTTTAAATAGGATACTGCAATGGACAAACAGATATAAACTAAATAATTAAATGTGTATATGCACAACAGAATAAATAGTCATACGGTATATGCATAAGGTCTTCATAGAGTGTGCAAACACTTTAAATGTTAACCACTTAGAATATTTTAGAAACAACAGGTAAATGGGATTTAAAAAATATATTGATATTTAAGATGAATACAATGCACAATAATGCCAAAAACATTTTTACTTCAGGCATTGTAACTGAAAAGAGTACTAGTTCAACTGAAGTATTGACTATGAGAAGAAAATTTAGAAACAATTGTTTCTTTCGAATTTGTAACCCGTTATTAAAGCTCAAAACTGCAAGAGCTTAGTAGAGACGCTGCGTAAGTGTTAAATCTTCTATATGAAAACCTAAAATATTGCAAGTTGATTTTAAAAAGAATTACTAGCCCCTTAAATGGCAAGTCATCTTCAAATTGAGCTGAGTAAATGAATGGTTTAACCTTTTGAAAGGTGCTTGGGACACAAGTGGGCATCTGAGAACTCAGCTTTGAAATCTTTGAATGTCAAAGACAGACCACAAGGACCGCTTGAAAGGGGACCAGGATTTGTTTATTACGATTAGGTCTTTCAGGGCTCATGGTGCTAATAATTTCAAACGTTAACTAAATTATTCTCCGCCCTCAACCTGGGGAAAGATGTCGAGTGAGACTGAGAAAGACAGGAGGCCCCCCAGGAGAGGGCAGCATCGCACAACAGGCCGAAGGAGACGGTAGCTAGATTAGCAAGCACAGCTGTGTTCAGGGAGGTTCACAAAGATTAGAGAAGAAAGAAATCCAAGAGGGCACCTTCCCTGAGGTGTTAGCAATGGAAGTCAGTAAATTGCCAGGGAGAAATTGCAGCAATTTGAATAAATATTTAATGTGAGAAGGTTATAGGCAAATAGGTGATAGAAAAATGTCATCACTGAGGTGACTGTTTTCTGAAGTGAGAATCTGCAAATACCTTGTGGTCTGTTAAAGCAAGGACACATGGATATGCCAGGACAACCTATTCAGAATGTGTATTGCTCTGGAAAGTTGCAGACTGATGGCCTCATAGAATAAAAGACTGAAACTTGGAGCTTTAATGCCTTGTTCAGTCCCCAATCTTCCCTCAGGGGAGGAGCTCTGGGATAGCAGCTGATACCAAATGCTTGGTTCTGAAAGGAATCTGATCCCTGTTGCTGAGGGAAGATTCAGAAAGGAAAAGTGGTGGGTAGAGGTGGGGATATTACTAAAAGAAAAGGAAACTGGCAGAGAATGGCTGGCTGAGCTGGAGTAGGGAGGAGACAGCAGAGGGATGCCCGTTTTTTCAGGGAAAGCTGATAAGACTCACTGATTCAGATATGGACCAAAGGATAGGATTGTAAGTGGTTCCTCATTTCCTTTGTGCTTTTCTGTGTTTTCAAAGCTCTGTAATGAGCACTTCTGAAATTAGGGGGGAAATCCAAATAATCATTGCTATCTTTGTAAACGCTTCAAGGACAGAAGCCAAAATACCTTCTGTCCTCGTTTGCCAATCTCGTCCATCACCAGTTGGATCTCCTCCTTCACTAACCAATATAGAATGACTGCAGTCATCATCTTGGTCCAACTCCTGAAATATCATAAAACAGGAACTCAGTTATTCAATGTCCTATTTTGTTGGTAGAGCAAACGCTGATTTTTCCAGGCTAAAGTTTCACACTGTGGATTCCTTTTAAATTGCATAAAGTATTTAGGACTGAAATAATGGGAAAGTATCTGCCCCCAGAGCACCAGGCTCACACAGACATAGACGCAATTAATTGCATAATCATAAACGAAGATCAAAGCTGAAATCACATAGAAATTCAACATTTTATACTTTATCATGTCAGCGTCCAGGCTGCTAAGCTGCTACAAATTTCATCTGGGTGGATAACTGGAAAGAATCATTTGGCCACAGTCACAGTGAACAAACCCCAAAGGAACATGATTTTTTCCATATGCCTCCCTGGAGCATCATTTACAGATGGTGAGGGTGGAAATCCCTGCCCTATATGGAAGCTACAGATAGAACCCGAGACTGAAAGGAGGCAGCAAAGCTGATTATAAAGTTTCACTCTGCCAGCTTTCTGATCTAACCATGGTGTGCAAACTCTCAAACTTCCTTTTACCCTCTGGAAAATAACTATTATGCTGAAAAACATGGTTGAAAACTAACTTGGTTTACAAAAAGTACTCCAAACTCCCAAAAGTACATATCTTTTTCTTATTAGAATTCATTGTTGTTGGTAGTTCCCTTCATTAGAATTTGTTGCATTAGATGTGGCTCTTTTTAATGTCTAGAACAGTGGTAGATGCAAGTAGTAGTTACAATATCCCATCACAATCTGGACATTACAATTAGCTCTCTGGCTGCCCTGTATGGGTGGCCACCCATTTAAGGAGACTGTTAGATAAAAAGTCTTTACACTAAATGCAGAGGTATGTCGCCTGGAGGTTCAGACAGGCAGGCAGTCTTGATCATAAAACCTCTGATATTTCATTCATTATTTGACAGAGAGAATGGTAATCTTTTCTTTTTTACTTTGTTTATTTTAATTATTACAGGCAATAATAAACTGGTTGTCATGGAAATGAAGACTCTAAAACAGAAACAAGTCAGAAGTTTCTAATTTCCTTTAGAATGCTAAATACGAAAGACTTTAAGAGGTGCTTGGATGCCACAAGGAAGAGAATTGAAATAATGACAGTTGTGAGTGAAAGAGAGGAAACATTAGAATAGCACATACCAAACATAAATGGATTTCATAGACCATTGACAATAATGTGAGAGGTGACAATAGACTACAAATAGAATATAGCATTCTCATCTGCAAACAATAGAGTCCTAAACACACAAAGGAGAAAATAGGTATGGAAATCATACATAATTAAATTTGAAAAGATTTTTCTTAGACGAAAAAAGATTGGGAGAATTTAACGCATAAGCAAGGCAGCTGCTTATGTTTGTCAACTATGAAAACCCATTTCAGACAACCAAAGAGGAAAGCAAGCTTTCATTCAAAGAGAATGAAGGATGACCTTGGGTTTTGCAATTTAAACCCCAGAGAAAGCACTAGGGAAGAAAAGGCAAGTTCAAAAGTGAAAGAGTCCATTTCTCGCTCAGAAATGATTTCAAAGTTATTTCAACTGTAATAAGAAAAATATAGGGTGACAGTTTAAAATAAACATTTTAAAGTTGCACAAAAAATGTATTAATACAAAGAGTTTTTTTGGTCTATTCAGAAAGGAAGTTGCTTAAATATACCATAAAAAATTAAAAGTATATGCGTTTTATCAATTTCTAATTCATGACATTCACTTTAAAGATTGGTCTCCAGGTATTTTATTTTGATTACCATGTTATATTAGTAACCCAAAACAATACAACCTTCACTGCTTCGTGACAAAATCTACATAGCAGGGTTTCTCAGCCTCAGCACTATTGACATTTGTAGCTGGATAGTTCTTTGCTCTGGAGGCCTGTCTTGTGTATTATAGATGTTTAGCAATATCCCTGGCCTCTACCCACTAGATGCCAGTAGCACCTCTGCCCCAGCTGTGACATCAAAAATATCTCCAAACATTGTAAAATGTCTCCTGGGGGGCAAATCACCCCATGTTGAGAACAACTGGATTAAAGCAACTTTGGCAAGAAGCAGAATAACCTGTTTAGAAAAGTTATAAATGCACAAAAATAAAATATTCAAATGGTATTAAAAATAAAAGTTTTCATTCTCCCTCATCCCATCCCATGCCCCAGGAGTCCTGATTTGACCAATCCTGTATTTTAAGGTTTGTTGTTTTTTTTTTTAATCAGTGCAAACAAATCCATCTCATTCTTTTAATTTTTACCAAATTTTGTTTACATTCTAGCCTAGGGAAATGATTGCTCTTATAACCCTTTAACCATCACCCTAATCTATGCCACCATTCCTCCTTCCAGCCCAGCCAGTTAGCAGTTCATTTGATGAGTCCTTTTACATCAATTCCTATGCATTTACTTACGTTATGTAACACCATTCACAACAAATGGCATTGTTGTGGGGTTTTCTTTTTGATGTAAATGGTATCACACTCTATACATAAATTTAACCACAACATAGTTTTATATAGTATAGGTATACCATAGTGGGTTTTTAAACTTAATTTTAAGTTTTATCAAACCTGACATTTTCAAAAAGTCAAATAATGGTAAGAGACATAACAAACAGGTCATTAGTTTCCTTTTCCACCCCTTCCCTCAGGGGGAAAAGCATCCAGCCTTTTAATGATTTTTTTTGGCATTTTCTTCCATATCTCTAGAAAATATATTTATTGTGCCATCTATTGAGGAATCACAATGAAACATGATTTATTGACTGTTTATCACTGTAGTTGACAATTCAATATTCTTATACCCTGCCCTCATCCTCCCAATAAATCCACCCTCTTTTTTTGTTTGGTCAATAGTCAAAGTTCAAATTATGATTATGTATTGTACTCCCCAATAGTACAATAGTTGTGTTGTATGATTATACTTTCTTGTACAACTTTTTTTTCTGCACAAAATCCTGTTTTTATTTCTAATCATTTTGTTTTACTCATTTTCTTATGTTTTTCCACACCTAAATCTTCCAACTCCAGTGGTCTCTTCACTTGGTAAAATATATCAGATAATATATCAGTTCTATTTCTTTTCTGGAAATCTCCATTATCCCATCCATCCTCCTAATTATCTGAATTGATACATGGCTGAAGCCTTGGAACTTGCCTTCTCCATTGTACTAACAATTCCTCCTTCTCCTAGATTTCTTGAATCACGTATTCAACTTTCCCCTCTATTTTTATCTATTCCCTTAATTTAATAAAGCACATGGTAGCTTCCTTAAAAAGTAGATGAGAAATAAAATGTTAGAGTTTGTGTGTCTGAAAAATGTCTTTATCCAACTCTAATACTTGATTTATACTTCTCTGGGTATAGAATCTTAGGTTGAAAACTACGTTACTTTCTCAGCTATTTGAAGGCATATCCCTACCCTTTTCATCACTTTTAATTTAAGTGCAGTATACATTCAGAAAAGTACACATATCTATAGATTCATGAATTTTTATAAAGTGAACACACTCATGTAACCAGGACTCAAATTAAGTAAAAGTGTTGTTAGACATAACATAAAAATCAAGACCCAAAAAAGAAAAAATGGATAAATTGGTTTTCATCAAAATTAAAAACTTCTGTTCCGTAAAAGACCTATCAAGAGTGAAAAATAACATGACTAAGTTTTTCTTATTGATTAGGAGAAAATATTTGTGACTCACATATTCAGAATATATAAAGAATTTTCTAAACTCAACAGTAAGAAAACAAACAATCCAATTAGAAAATGGATAAAAGACTTGAGCAGATGACTAATGCTGATGGCAAATAAACAATGAAAAAATGTTTGGCATTAGTCATTAAAAAACTACCAATTAAAAGCACGATGAGATACTACCACACACCTATCAGATTGGTTAATATAAAAAATCTTAACAGTACCAAACGCTGGCAAGGGTGTAGAGAAACTGGATCTCTCATTTATTGCTGGTAGAAATATAAAATGGTAGAACTGCTCTGGAAAAAAAATTTTTTTTTAAGTTAAACATACATTTATCATATGACCTAGTAATTGGACTCCTGGGCATGTATCCTAGAGAAATGAAAACATATCTTCACATAAAAATCTGTACATGAATGCTCATAGTAGCTTTATTTGTAATAGCCCCAAACTGGAAACAACCCGAATGTCTTTCAACAAATGAATGGCTAACTACTTCGTATTACAAAGAAGCTCTTGATACACATAACAACTTGGATCTATCTCAAGAGCATTATATTAAGTAGAAAAAGCCAGTCTCAAAAGTTTATCCATTTATATGACGCTCTCAAAATGAAAAAATTGTAAAGATGGAGAACAATAGATCAGTAGTTGCCAAGGGTTAGGAAAGAGGGGAGGGTATGGCTCTAAAGAGGGTAGTAGGAAGGGACTCTTTTGTGGTGACAAAATGTTCTGTATCTTGATTGTGGTAACTCAGAGAATAAAATGTCATAGAACTGTACATACAAACACACAAAGAGAAAAAAAAATAAAAAGAAAAAGGCATGTATGCAAAAGCTACCGAAATCCAAGTAAGGTCTATAGTCTAGTTAATTGTATTGTGTCAATGTCAATTTCTTAGTTTTGACAATGTACTATAGTTATGACAATGGTTCCTAGTGGTGGAAGCTGGTAAAGAGCACAAAGGACCTTAATGTACAAGTTCTTGTGAATCTATAATTATTTCAAAATAAAAGGTAAAAAAAATCTTTTTGGTTTTCTTTGTTGTTTTGGGGATGATTTTTGAAAGGAGAAAGGGGCTGAAAGGTATTTACTCCACCATCTCTAAAACTCCTCATTATTTTTTTATAAATATTATAGTCCGTCCTTCATTAACTTTTAAAAATAAACAATTTTGTGGCCATATTTTTCTCATCAATAAAATATTGAGTAGTAATACTTTAACTGTTTGGGCTATGTTGATTTTTACAAAAAGTCGAAAAGTACAAATGAGTATTTTCTCCCCATAGACAACCAATGTTACCAATTTGTTGTATATCTTGTGTATCATTCCAAAGTTTTTTATGGATCATTATGTTTGTTACTCGTACTGTTACTGTACTATGAGGGACTTATTGTGGAGTTATTCATTATAGGCAGGAGGTAATGACCAAGGACAAAAGGGGGCATCTCTTTTGTGGTACCCTGTGTTGGACTTGGCATGATCAGATTTATGACCTCCTTTTCCATATTAACATACAAAAAACAAGCCACATTTTATTATTTAGTATGGATTCAACTACAATGATATTTTGTGGTATTAGATACACACACACAATGCATAAGACTGAGAGTTGACTAGCTATTGCTCTGAGATTAAACTCAAGGAACACTGTCTTATTAATTGAGTTTTAAATTACTTTATGGTTACATTAAAATATAATCGTAGTATATACTTGTTAAAAATTATTCAAGCAAAACAAATGAAGAAGTAGATGGAGTAGATTATTCTTTTTTTGTTGGCTTGTTTCTTTAAAAAGAACATCTTACCTCACTGCTGCTGATGCTTTGCAAGAGTATATTTTGGCTTTTAGTAACTGTCATATCAGTTGGAGAAGAGTTTGTATCATGACAAATGTCAAGCAATGATTCAGTATGTCTCTCTGCCAAAAGAAATATAATAATGTGTTTTGATAAGACTCATCTCCAGCAATTTCACAGGAAGATTTAGCTATAGGTTCTAAAATCAGTTTCATTTTGTCAAAGATTTTCCCAAAATAGTGTTCTGGGATCCTGATGATGCTTCAGGCAATAATTTTTTACAGGTAGAGATGTGAGGGCAACAGGAGTCCACAGAATGTATGGGTTTTTGTTTGTTTGTTTGTTTGTTTTTAAAGTTAGGCATAGTTGTTAAGTGAAATCCCTAACAATGGACTGGAAATTACATTTACTCTGTAGTTGACAAAGACAAAAATGCTCAGCTACTCTCGGAGCTCACTTCCTGTCCATCACTGAAACTACATTAAAATGACAAAGTCTGAATATCAAACTGAACTCCCAGTTAGTTCTTGAGGGACATTGTTCTCATATCCATCCCCCTTCTGCTAGCCTGATTTCTTCAAACAAGCACGAGCTCTTCGATAAAAAGTTCTTCCTCTTCTGATGGCTTTTCCATTTATCTTATAACTGAAACAAAGTTGAACAAGTAATCTACATTCAGACTCTATTTCTGCACCATATTTTTCTCTGTAACTCTTTGCAATCGATCTTCTGCCTCTAGTCTGCCAATGAAACTTCTTACTTCCTTACCACATCTGCTTTGTAACCTCTTTTCTAATTTGATGTCATTTCGATTTCACTTTCTTGCAACTCTCTTCAATTCTACTCCTCCCTCTCTCACTCTCCTGAGACCTTATATGCACACAGCCCCTCTAACTATGAGAGCACCTCCTCAGCTCAGCCCCCCTGAAATTTTCTCACCATCATTAAACCTTCAATGATCTTGTCCAATCTCAGGTCTCTCCCTGTATAGAGAACTCCCAAACTAATGTATCAACCCATCCTTTCCCACAAGCCCTGTTGTACAGAAAATTGTTACTTGAAAATGTCAGGGTTTCATCAATAAAGTGTTTTAGAATTCATTGCCTTCAACATCCCCACCAAACCAGAGTGTTCTTCAGTTTCGTTGACTGTATTTCCAACTTTCCAATTCCCAGGGCTGACACTCTGTTTGACTCAACTCTTAACTTTTGTCTCTGTTTTTCCTCTATTAATTGTACATCACTAAGTTCTTTAAATTCTTCTTTCACAATATCTCTTAACTTAACTCACCATACTCAGTACTTCTCAGACTCACTACCACAGCATGCCCAGGGACTCTTCCTGGTCCTTATTACCACACACGACACTGCTATACTTTCTTAATAGAGCTCCTCGCCATGAGTCTCTTCCTTCTAATCCATCCCCCACAATAAGAACAGATTAATTTTCCTAAAACATGGCTTTCATCATTCTCTGGCTAAAAATTCTTTAGTGATTCTCTTTTATTGAAAAAAAAATTATATCTTTCAGCTTTACATTTAATGGGTCTTCAATGGACCCAGTTTCTCTATCTATCTATTCCTCTATCATCTATCATCTATCATCTATCATTTATCATCTGTCATCTATCATCTATATTCCTTTTCCCTGACATGAACTTTTGGTTCTAGTCTCCCATTTGGCCCTCGAGTAACCTACTGCATGGTGTACACAATCAAATCCCCACTTTTCAAGGACCAGACTGGGTCTCGCCTCTTACACGAAGTCTTATTAGGTATACCCTTGTTCCCTGCCCAGAAGCTTCAAATGAAAAGCCAATTCAACAACAAAGTCTAGCAAGCAGCTTTCACAAAGTCACATGTTGATCAGGGGCACTTATTTTCATTACGCCTTTCTCTGAGGCTGTTTCTATGTCTTTGCTCAGACTCTTTCTTTCCACCTATATCGAACCTCTCTCTTATTGTCTTCCTACTGTAGCTTATCCAGCATTCAAGAACCACTATAAGTTCCTCTTCCTCTTTCGAGTTCACAATAAGCTCTTTCTCCTTGGACTTATGTGATGTGTCCCTGACCATACTGAACACTTTTGAAAGTTTGGACCAAGCCCTAGACTTCTTTGTATCCCTCAGAGCACCTACTCATGGACTTTGTACAGAATCACTGCTCAGTAAATAGCTGTTGGCTTGATTTCTTTAAATGGATCTATAAAATACATGTAGAAAAAGAAAGATTTCTCATAGGGCCCTTAAAGTTGGGAAATTTTGAGTGTAATAGAAATATTTACCTTGTTTTGGCATAGAATTCATTAGAATGTCCAATAACTGCTGTTTCTTAAAACTCTCTATTTGTGACACATAATGTATTGCTGATTTTCCACTAAAATCACAGAGTTTAGGATCTCTAGGAAGAACAGAAAAAACACCAAAGATTATTTAGTTAAATCTGTTGAAAAAGAAAACCAATACAAGAGGAGAAACATTGACATCAAATAAGTAAAATAATCTTACGTAAAATAATCTTAGTAAAATTATCTTAGGGAATAACAATTATGACTTCAAAATGTATGAGATAGGGAGTAATAATTTTTCAATATTTTTAAATAAAAGGAATATGCTATGTATCTTATTCCCACTCCTATTCTAAAAATATTCTCATATTTTACAACTTTTGACAAAAATTTATAATTTTTAAATGATGGATGCATAAATCAAGTGGAGATAAAATAATTTTGATAAAATGTCATCTTATCATTCCGAAGAGTTGACTTGACTCTTTTTTCTTCCCAATGTTTTTGCTAACTGCTTATTTTATTGACATTTCTTTTTTCTAATGTGAACATCTAGTCCTTTTATCATTCAAAAAAGTGTAATAGTATGGAATCTCTCTTTAAAATTAAGCTTGCATGCTTATTTCACAGGCTCTTGGTCAAGTGGAGACATCTTGTCATAAAATCCCTCTCTGTGTGATCTTTTCATTCCTCTTTGCCTTGCCCTATGCTTGTTAAGCCCGACTGGCTGATCTTAGTGCTCCTTGCAACAGCACTAATATACTCTCTATGCTGTACTGAATCCTAGGATTAGACATCAGCTCTGAGAGATCCAGAGGATAAATAATGAGAACCCTATCAATAGACTACGGTGAGGGAAACAATGATAAAACTTCACTAGTCACATTCTAAGACAAGAGGCGAGTTGAATATGTCTCCAACCTAACACCTTTGAATTTGAAACTCTTTATTGCTATGGGACAGGGTAATTTTTTATGATCTGCAACAACATTCTATTACGGCCTTTTCTCCATCAAAGGTCATGATTCAAAAGAAATAACACAGGACTAAGAATCAGTGGACTGCCATTACTTTGATGTGTGGCCTTAAGCAAGTCAGTTAACTCGTCGGGACCTCCGTTTGCCCATCTTCCTTGATTAGTGTTTCTCCAAGTGGCGTCCTTTGATCTGCTGTATTCTGGACTCCCCTCCAGGCCTATTGAACACCATCTCTGGGCTGGTATCCAGTAATCCCCATTTTTAACAATCTCCTCAGTTGTTTCTTAACACAAAATTCTGAGATAGCTTCAAATTTCCATCTTCACCCCCTTATACTAACTGATCCTTTTACAATGTCTTTGACTATGCTTTGCTTTTGAACTCCCCTCTTCCTTTTTTGTCCTTCCAAAACAAAATTCATATGTAATATTGAAAAAGAGTTAGGGCCATCTGTTCTTATTTTGTGACAAGATATCTAGGTAACAAACAGCATTAGGAAACTGCAGCTCTAACATAAGAAACTGCTTATTGACCCTCTGATTTTTTTTAAAGTTAATTGTTTACTTAGCCCCTCCTAAAAGAGCATGTTGGCATATAGTAATTTTTAGATAACTGGAAATCACTACCTTAAATTGCTTTTGGTATTTGACAATGCTTCCCAAAATAATTAGCAATATCTTGGGAGTAGGAAGCTACATACTCAAGAATTATTCAATATCCTCAGTATCTACCCAAAGAGTGGGTACTTAAATAAATAAAACAAAGGGCCAACATCATAAAAATAATAAATGGCAACATCTAACATCTGTATATCGCTTTACAACTGCAAAATTTCTTTTATGAACATGCATGTGCATTTAGTATATATAATTTAAGAATCCCAATCTATATGTCCAGATTTACAAATGACTTCTATAAATAGTAATAGTATAGACATCCTTTGCTGGTGCTGACTGACCACTCATACTCACGCATGATGCCTGAGAAGCTCGGACAGAACCTCCACAGGTCTGTAAGCTGTTAACATATCAAGACTCTCAAACAGGTCCACATCTCTCACAGCCAGCATCAGTGGGGTCAAGCCATGTTGGTTTGGGAAATTTACATCCAGGAACTCTTCAGATGCCTTTAAAAACATGAAGCTTTACTTCCATCATATTCTTACTGCATGACTATATTAATCTTTGTATTTTTATTGCTTGTCCAAATTCTCATTTTACAATACATTCTCTCTCAATATCTGTATTGAGAGGGAGCTGATAATTTGGAAAAACAAAGTCCTGAAAGACAGACCTGGGTTTGAATTTTAGCTTCTTGAGCTGGTTATTTTAATTATTATTATTTTTTTATTTCTAATTTGAGCTGGTTATTTAATCTCCCTGGTAGGCTTATATCAAGGACACTCTGTTAAAAGATGATCAAATCACTCTGATAAAATAAGGGATACCCAGTTAAACAATGAATAATTCTCATTTGGGACACAGTTATACTAAAAAATTATTTGGCATTTGTCTGAAATTCAGATTTAATGAGTTTCCTTTATTTTTATTTGCAAAAACTGGCAACCCTACTTGCTGACTGAATCTTCAGCTATAAAGTAAGAATAATAGTGTTTTCCCTGAGGGTTGTTTTGATAATTGGAGAGCAGAATGTCTGGCACATGCTCAATAAATATTTGTAGAATGAATGACTAATTTATAATAATAAGGCAGCTCATTTAACTGTATTCATGTAGTTAAAGGAGGTGGATATATAGATGTTATTTGTTATTTTAATGTTTTAAAAATTTAAATTTAAATTTGGATAATTCAAAACTGAAAAGCTACTGGAAGGCCAAATTATCCGAACTGTTTATTTTATAGACCTAAGTAACTTACTAATTTCTGTCTCTATTTCACTTTATGCCATCAAAGTATAGTCAGTGTCTCTACCTCAGTTACTCTAGGGACAAACTAGAGATAATGATATTACCTCAGAGGGGTGCTGTGGGAATTTATTAGTTAACATTTTTTTTAGTCTCTGAAAAGAAACCACCTCTTATATCAATGTTTATTATTAGTTAGAACTGACATGAAAGTTTTGAGCTGAAAATAGTCTTACAATAGCACATTAATTCAGCCATCTGTTGATTAAACTCTAAATCCAGTTATAGACACCGGTTTCTTAAAACTCAGCTGCCAATTTTTAGGAGTGAAAATGTGGTCATGAAACAGACATTGGATTACAACTACTACAAATACCATTAAAATAAAATTTACTCTTTCAAAAAAATTTCTAAGCCTCAGTTCATGCTCTATAGCAGTTTTAGACTATCATTTAGTACAATGAAGGAATTTAGAGCACTTTGGATTTTGTTGTATATTTCCTTGAACTCTAGGACATCATTTCCTTGATACCATAATATCATTTGCTTTTTCTTTATCAGTTTGCATCTCTATCATAGGGAATGGAAGAAACTGTTTCCTAGCAGCAATGGATTTTCTTTCAGTTGGAAGGTCATGCGATCTGACGGTATCTCTGAAGGTAAATGCCAAGAGCATGCAGTAGCCAGATACCAATAATTAATGTTTTTGGTTATGCAAGTTATATTGATAAAGAGTATCTGTAGGTAGAAAATTTTTAAAAAGATCAATACCTTAAGAAGACAGCATTTAAAAAATGTATCCTTTTAACTCCCTTAGTCACAACTAAATATTATGCAAAGCATAAGCTCTCTGATTCCCTTTTCAGGATAAAGATAATAACTGCAACTTGTCCAAAGGGATCTGAACAGCAATTGTACAAATGGCAATGATGTCAAGGGAACTTCTCTGAGCAAGCTGACAGTGGTTCTCTGGGGACATCTTGGGAGCACATCATTTCCCAGGGGTGCTGTGTCACTTCTTCTAGCATCCAGCTGAAGGAAGCCTGCTGCTTTGTGCTTTTGTTATTTTGTTTTTCACCCCAGTGTCTTGTTTGATGCTGTTGCTTTCTCATATTTCCTGCCTGAAAATTCCTGGGACTGCATTTGAAAAGAACTTATTTTTCTTTGAAAGGAACCACATGTAGTCTGTGCCCTTCTTACCATCCAGTTGCCCACCTACCCAAAGGCAGAAATAAATATCAATTTAACTGACCAGCAAGTGTTGAAGTTGTTCAAGATCACCTTGCCATGAACTTTGTAGAAGCTGCATTTGGGGAGCCTGGATTCCATCGACGGCCAAGAGTTGTCTTTGGACATTGCAATTAGCTACATGGACCGCAGTTTGATTGTTGTAATTGCAGAGGGTGATATCTGCTCCCTTTTCCAGGAGAAACCGAACAACCTGCAATACCACATTTTTGAATACCAATAGTGTCTTCAGGGCTGGGTAGAAAACTTAGTTAGATGTGTCTCTGATTCACGATATAGGAAAGGAGACTGAAAGGGGCAGAAAAAAGAAGGATTGGTTTGGATGTCTTTGCTTTTTTTTAAACTGGAAAATAAACATCTTTATGATATGGATGGTTTGGGGATACTATTTCTTTTAAACTAGAGGTCTGTGAGTATTTTATATTAAACCCACTAAAACATTGAAGTTTTATTAGTATCATCTATAATTTGGAATAAGAAATTCAGGCTTATAAATTATTGAATGTCACAAGGGTTTCTATAAGTATTTCTAGGGAGAGAGTAAACTCTATTCCAAACGGTAAAGGCATAATTCATTCAACAAATAGGACTGAGTGACTAGTGTTTGTCAAGAACTGTCCTTGGTGCTGAGATTCCAACAATGAACAAGACAGATGACCACCAGCCTTTAAGGCATTTACAATCTAGTGAGGATCAGAGACAAATAAAAAAGGCAATTGCAACACAGTGTAATAAATTTAATGATAGGATAAATGCAGGAGGTTGAGGGAAGCACTTAGAAAAAACCTATTAAGCTGTCTTGGACCAGGAAGACTTTCTGGAGAAATTGATGTCTAAGTTGAGAACTGCAGGATCAGACTCAGTTAACTAGGCAAAGACTAGGGGAAAAAATTGTTTTAAGCAAAGGATATAGTGTGAACAAAGTACTGTGAATGGTATAGATAGAATTAT